GACACAGAGAAAGATAGAGACCCACCTCTTCCGATGGCAGAATTAGAGAGAAGTTCCTAGAATCCTCATGAGAAGGTACGCCCACAAGGAAGCATCATCAGGCTGAGACCTGATGGACAGGCTAGACGCCACCCCTAGACCTATTTATCAATTGACGTGAAATTATGTAACTAACATAGAGAGTTCTTTGTGATTTCATCTCGGGTACATTTGGTGGATGAGAGAAAGAAACACCCTCCGGTGGGCGTGGGGGAGGAATGATTTTCGGAGGGAAAGCCGGTTAAAGATAAAGAACGAGGTCAGGTGGCATTGGAATAAGAGGCCTGGAGGAGTGACAAGAGCTTGCATTAGGGTGAAAGCAAAGGAGGAGCCAGAGTATGATGCCGGGGCGCTCTGCAATGGACAGAACAGGTCGGGAGAGAATGGCTCGTTGCATGTGGAAGAGCCAAAGTAACATTTTTGCAGCCCAAAGGGTTTTGCTGTCAATGCCAACTCATGGCAACCCAGGTGTGTCAGAAGACAACTGTGCTTCTCCAGCTTCTCAATGGCTTATTCTTTCAGAAGTAGATCGCCAAACCTTTCTTACAAGGTACCTGGGGGAGGGGGAGGGGCTCGAACCTTCGACTCTTCAGTTAACAACAGAGTCCATGTACTGTGCCCACCCCTAGCCTCAGGCCTGGCCCACACTACATCCTCCCCAGGACCAATTCCTGGGAATCAGGCAGAGCAACAAGCAGGGCAGGTGGCCTCTGGGCAAAGCCTTTCAATACACTCCCCTGACCCCATCCCACACACAAATAAGCTGTGTACTTTTGAGGAAGGGGAAATAGAAAAAAGTCAAGTCAAATCGAATTATACAGAATTTTGTAGTGCAGACAGGGAGATTGAGCAGTAGAAATACCTAATGCCGTGTTTCCTCTTCTGCAAAAGGGTACCATGCCTGTGGAAAGGATGCGAATGCGCCCATGGCTGGAGGAACAGATAAACTCAAACACAATACCAGGGCTAAAGTGGCTTAACAAGGTAAGCACGTGAGTGTGAGTGTGTGTGTGTGTGTGTGTGTGTGTGTGTGTGTGTGTCAAAGAGACAGAGTGCTACTAAAAGTAAAACCATTCTTCACGTGTTCAAAATCTTATGCTTATTATGTACAAAAACAGCCCACCCTGAAACTCCGTAAAAGCAGCGAGTCAGCACAATTTTTATCATCTTCTCAGACGATAGCCCCAATTATGAGTTACCAGTTGCAACTCACCTTTGGGGTTTTGGATGAGTATTTGTGAGAAACCTCTTACTGTGTTTATCTTCAAGGACCCTTACTCTGTTCTCCAGCCCCTCCCTTGTGAGTATATGTATGTGTGAGTGTGTGTGTGTGTGTGTATCCTGTCTTTCAGAGGAACTATTGTAGGGTTTTATATTGAGACTGAAACATGTGGATTTTCTTTTTAATGGTCTCTATGTTAAAAAATCATTTGGTCTTAGATGTTTTCTTTGTATCTCTGTCATGAAACCTTCTTCATGTACCCATCTGTTCTAAAAAATAGTACATCATTTACAGCAACCCTTCCCATGATACACCAGAACGCGCCCTTATGTTGACAACAGCAAGACTCTCAATTCAGTTGATCCTATCTCTTCTGGATGAACCAGGAAGAGATAATGTATGTAAAAATCACCAAAACTCACTGTCAAACCCCACTGCCATTCAGTCAGTTCTGACTCATAGTGACCCTGGACAGGGTTTCTGAGCCTGTAAATCTTTACAAAACCTCTTCTTTCTCCAGTGGAGCAGCTGATGGGTTGGAACTGTCAAATCTGGAGGTGGGCAGTCAAATAATTACCGGACAGAACCATAAAAATAAACCCAAATCTCCAAGCTTACTGCTGTCAAATCGATTCTGACTCGTAGGGACCCTGCAGGCTGTCCATCTGCGTGAGAGCGGGAAGCCTCGTCTTTCTCCTGAGGAGCTGCTGGTGATTTCAAACCACTGGTCTTGCTCAAGTTGTGAGCCACTGTGCTACCAGGCTCCCATGAAAATAAAGCCATCTGAAAATCTATACTTACAAGGGGGCACCCCAAAACCTGATGCTCATTTGCTTTTTTGATGTGAGGGGAATAGTGCATTTGGAGTTTGTTCCACCTGGTCAGACTGTTAATCAAGCTTTCTATTTAGAGGTTCTGAAAGGATAGGGTAACAGTGTGTACAAAAGAGGCCTGATGTGTGGCAGATGGGGGACTGGTTTTGCCATCATGACAATGCACCTGCTCATGAGCCATCTCAGTGTGCCAGTTTTTGGCAAAAACAGCATGCCTCTCATGCTCCCTGCACGTTACTCACCTGACCTCATTCCGTGTGACTTCTTTTTGTTTCCTCGAATGAAGAGGGACATGAAAAGATAGCGACTTAGCTTTAGAGGGCATAGAAGAGATAAGGAAAAATACGTGGGAGGCGCTGTCAGCAATCCAAACAGATGAATTTGAGAAATGTTTCCAAGAATGGAATCACAGATTTGACAAATGTATTAAGTGTAATGGAGAGTACTTTGAAAGTCATAGGTTGATTTGTAAAAAAAAAAAATTAAAATACATAGCTTTGAAAAAGATCATTTTTTTGAATACCTCCTTGTATAATGTAGAGGGATAATTAAATACATCATGTCTTCTTTGAAGGAGAAATTATGGTTTTTCTGTGAAAATATTATTCCCACTACCCAAATCCATGCCCACCTTCTCTTGTATGTAATCTCGAGGACACAATGCATAGTGTAGCTGATGGGTTTCATTCTTGTGTCAGGCTCTGGAGAGCTTAGTGCCAGGCTAGGGCCTGGCTCTCACAAGGGGCAAACTATCACAATGTAATTTCTTTTTGTTTTGAATTAGTGTCATTTCTGCTTCATTGTTTTTCTTCCCAGATCATTTTGTTCTTTGTTCCTCACTCACTAACATTTGACTTAATGTTACTCTATTTGAAGATATTTATTTAAGTGGGTCCTCTAAATAAACCATGTGTTTATTTTATGTGACCTTACAGCTTCTCTGTAGGAAGTGAACTTTGGGGCTAACAGTACATTTTTATAAGCTTGCAGCATCTATAGAGTTTTAGACATACACCCTAGCAGGGGTCCTCACACTTTTTAAACAGGGCCCCAGTTCACTGTCCCTCAGACCTGTTGGAGGGCCAGACTATAGTTTAAAAAAAACTATGAACAAATTTCTATGCACACTGCATTTGTCATTTTTT